TATAAGCAAGGTCATGTTACTAGAAAACGTCAGGAGCAGGATTCTAACTATTGTGACTTCTTATCTCTATTCCAAGGAACAGAAAACTTGTATTTGTCTCCTTCTGCTAAAGAAATACAAAGAGTGGCACAGTGGCACACACCTGAAGTCCCAGCTAACTCAGGAGGCTTAGACGGAAAGATTGCTTGAGGCCAGGAATTTGAGACCAGCCTCCTGGGCAACACAGCAAGACCCTTTCTCTTAAAAAAAGAAAAAGAAAAAAAAAAAAAAGACAAGACAGAAAGAAAGAAAAAAAGAAAAGAAAAGAAAAGAAAAAGAAAAGAAATACAGTCTCCTCAGTATCCATGGGGAATGGCTGATTGGTTCCAGGACCCTACTTCCTTTATCAAAAATCCACGCATACTCAAGTACTGCAGCCAGCCCTGTGAAACAGACATATATACAAAGAAAGGACCCACACCACCCTATATTATATGTGAGTGTCAAAATTCGTATTTTCAATCTGCCTTTGGTTGAAAAAAATGTATATTAAGTGGACCTGTGAGTCAGGCATGGTGGCTGGCACATGTAGTCCTAGCATACTAGGAAGGCTGAGATGGGAGAATTACTGGAGCTCAGAGTTTCAAGACCAGCCTGGGCAACACGGTGAGACACATATCTCAAAAATATTTTTTAATTAAAAAATAATAACAACTGGCGGGCCGCAGTGGCTCACGCCTGTAATCCCAGCACTCTGGGAGGCCGAGACAGGTGGATCACAAAGTCAGGAGTTTTAGACTAACCACCCTGACCAACATGGTGAAACCCCGTCTCTACTAAAAAATACAAAAAAAAAACTAGCTGGGAGTGGCGGCACGCACCTGTAGTCCCAGCTACTCAGGAGGCTGAGGCAGAATAATCACTTAAACCAGGGAGGCGGAGGTTGCAGTGAGCCAAGTTCGTGCCACTGCACTCCAGCCTGGGTGACAGAGCGAAACTCCATCTCAAAATAATAACAACAACAACTCTACCTGTGTAGTTCAAACCCACATTGTTCAAGGGTCAACTGTAATTGTAATGCAAGGTGTTAAAGCTCAATTCAGTTTTTAAAAAAATAGTTTTATTGAGTTTATAATTCACATATAAAATTCACCCTGTAAAAATATATAATTCAGTGTTTTTTAGTTATTTACGAGGCAGTTCTACTATCACCTTTTTTTTTTGGGACAGAGTCTCACTCTGTCACCCAGGCTGGAGTGTAGTAGTGCAATCATGGTTCACTGCAGCTTCAACCTCCTTGGGCTCAAGTGATCCCACCTCAGTCTCCCAGGTAGCTGGAACTACAGGTGCATGCCACCATACCCGGCTAATTTTTTTTTTTTTTTTTGTATATTTTTGTAGAGATGGGGTTTCACCATGTTGCCCAGGCTGGTCTCAAACTCCTAGGCTCCAGCAACCCACCCACCTTGGCCTCCCAAAAGTGCTGGGATTACAGGTGGGGCCACCGTGCCCAACCTTCATGATCCATTTTGAGTTAACTTTTCTGTATGGTATGAAGTAGGTGTCTAACTTTCATTCTGCCACACAAGGATAGCCAGTTTTCCCAGCACCATTTGTTGGAAAGACTATTCTTTTGCCCACTGAATTGTCCAGGCATCTTGTTAAAAGTCAACTGACCATATACACAAGAGTTTATTTTTAGACTCTCAATACTATTCAGTTAATCTTTATGACTATCCTTATGTCAGTATCACAATGTCTTGATTACTGTGGCTTAGTGGTTAAGTTTTAAAACCAGAAAGTGTAAGTCTTACAACTTTGTACTTCCTTTTCAAGATTGTTTTGGCTACTCTGGGTCCCTTGCCTGTCTATATTAGTTTTAGGGTCAATTTGTCAATTTCCACAGGGGGAATTCAAGAAAAAGCAATTGGGATTTTGATAGGGATTGCACTGAATCTGTAGATCACTTTGGGTAGTAATGCCATCTTAACATTGTCTTCCAATTCACAAATACAGGCTATCTAATTGTTTAGATCTTTAATTTCTTTCAACAATATTTTGTGGTTTTCTGTGTACAAGTCTTATACTCTTTTAGTTAAATTTACTCCTAAGTAATTTTTCCCTTTTGATATTATTACAAATGGAATTTTATTCTCAATGTAATTTTTAGGTTATTGCTAGTGTACAGAAATAAAGCTGATTTTTGTATCTTGATCTCATTTCTTGTAACCTTGCTGAACTCACTTATTAGTTCTAAGAGTTTTCTGGGTATTATGTTTGTGGGTTTTTAAGGATTTTCTATATAAAATATTCTACCATTTATAAATAGTTGTTTCACTCTGGATGGCTCTTTTCTTTTTTCTTTTTTTTTTTTTAAGCTCTGGCTGGAATCTTAGCATAATGTTGAACAGAAGTGGCCAGAGCAGATATTCTTGCCATGTTCTTGATCTTAAGGGACAGGTATAATAGCTGTGGTATTTTTATAGATGTCACTTACAGGATTAAGGAAGTTCTTTGCTATTCCTAGTTTGTTGACTTTTTTTTGAGACAGAGTCTTGCTCTGTTGCCCAGGCTGAAGCGCAATGGCACGATCTCGGCTTACTGCAATCTCCACCTCCCAGGTTCAAGCGATTCTCCTGCCTCAGCCTTCTGAGTAGCTGGGATTACAGGCGTTTGCCATCACACCTGGCTGATTTTCGTATTTTTAGTAGAGATGAGGTTTCACCATGTTGGCCAGGCTGGTCTCGAACTCCTTACCTCAGGTGATCCACTCACCTCGGCCTCCCAAAGTGCTGGGATTTACAGGCATAAGCCACTGCGCCCAGCCGAATGTTTTAATCATAAAAGAATGCTGGATTGTGTCAAATGTTTTTTCTGTGTGAACTGAGATAACTGTATAGTTTTGTCCTTTATTAATATGGTATATTACACGGACAGGTTCTGACCCTGGCATTCCTGGGTAAAGTTCCTCTTTATCATGTTATATAATCCTTTAATATGTCAGAGAAACAAGATTTTCTTTTTCTTTTTTTTTGAGACGGAGTTGCATTCTGCTGCCCAGGATGGAGTGCAGTGGTGGAATCTTGGCTCACTGCAGCCTCCTCTGCCTCCTGGGTTCAAGTGATTCTCCTGCTTTGGCCTGCTAAGTTGCTGAGACTCCAGGTGACCGCCATCATGCCCAGCTAACTTTTTTGGGTTTTTCATAGAGACAGGGTTTCACCATGTCGACCAGACTGGTTTCAAACTCCTGACCTCAGGTGATCCCCCTGCCTCGGTCTCCCAGAGTGCTGGGATTACAGGCGTAAGCCACCACACCTGGCCAAGATCTGTGTATCTTTAATTATTAAAAAATAATAAGCTTCTCCTAAAGGTTTATTGTAGCAACAAAAAAGTGGTTATGAGCCATTAGGATTGCTACCCTTAGGGGTATTATCTTGGGTCTAATATTGGTTTAAGACTTGCTCTTTGTGTATCTGGCCAAAACTTGCTTCAAAGAGTTACTCTCAATGAAACTCAAAGCCTAGAAGGTAGCAATAAGGCATGAAAAACAACTCTTAACAAGAAGCCACCTATGCTGTAGCAAAGAAATAGACATGCTTTGATAAAAAGTGACATCAGGCTGGGCGCGGTGGTTCACGCCTGCAATCCTAGCACTTCAGGAGGCCAAGGTGGGCAGATCACTTGAGGCCAGGAGTTCAAGACCAGCCTGGCCAACATGGCGAGACCCCCATCTCTACTACAAATACAAAAATTAGCCGGGTGTGGTGGTGCATATCTGTAATTCCAGCTACTTAAGACACTGAGACACAAGAATCACTTGAACCCAGAAAGCAGAGATTGCAGAGAGCCAAGATCATGCCACTGCATTCCAGTCTGGGTGATGAAGTGAGACTCTATCTCAAAAAAACCCAAAATAGACTGGGCGCGGTGGCTCAAGCCTATAATCCCAGCACTTTGGGAAGCCGAGACGGGCAGATCACAAGGTCAGGAGATCGAGACCATCCTGGCTAACACGGTGAAACCCCGTCTCTACTAAAAATACACAAAAAACTAGCCGAGCGTGGTGGCAGGAGCCTGTAGTTCCAGCTACTTGGGAGGCTGAGGCAGGAGAATGGCGTAAACGCGGGAGGTGGAGCTTGCAGTGAGCTGAGATTCGGCCATTGCACTCCAGCCTGGGCGACAGAGCGAGACTCCGTCTCAAAAAAAAACCCCCAAAATACAGAAAAAAAACAACATTTTCACATGCAATGGAACTATTTTCTTAGGTTTTTACTGTATTAGCATTCCATATATTTCAAAATGCCTAGAAGCAATATTATATTTCTGTAACATGAAAAATAAAGTTTTTAAAAATTACTACTAGATATTTCATTCATTCATTCAATAAAAATTTATTAAGAAAAAATTCATTTCCAGAAAGTCATTGTAAAACCACTGGTAGCTTCTATTTGGGGTCATCTTATAAGATGGCTATATAGAGTTTTGGAGTCATTTACTAATTGTCTTGAATGAGGCTCTAGATAGACTGCCCAAAAACTTAAGAAAAACATAGGCGAATAACATTAACTTTTTTTTTTTTTTTTGAGACGGAGTCTCCAAAAAAGCCTGTTGCCCAGGCTGGAGTGCAGTGGCGCGATCTTGGTTCATTGTAAAGTCTACCTCCCAGGTTCAAGAGGTTCTCCTGTCTTGGCTTCTCAAGTAGCTGGGACGACAGGCACGCGCCACCATGCTCAGCTAATTTTTGTAATTTTTAGTAGTGACAGGGTTTTACCATGTTGGCCAGGCTGGTCTTGAGCTCCTGACTTCAGGTGATCTTCCCGTCTCAGCCTCCCAAAGTTCTGGGATTACAGGCATGAAGCCGCCATGCCCGGCCAACATTAACTTTTAGAAAATAGAAATACTTCAGTAATAATTACTTCAACAGTACATTGTATCTTGAAGATCAATTGGAATATTTATTCTTCCTAACCAAGCACACAAATGTGTGTTCATGAAGGGTTTATACAATTTCTAGGTCTTACCTCATCTATGTTTCTAAGCCATTTGCTGATGTTTTCAAAACTTTTACCATTGGTGATGTCATATACTAGCATGATACCCATTGCGCCTCTGTAGTAGGAGGTTGTGATGGTGTGAAATCGCTCCTGGCCTGCTGTATCCCTGAAATAAACAGCCAACAATTTCTATTAAGCATTTTGATATTACTATGTTTCACATAAAGGACAAAACAAGAATAAAATAGTTTTTCCTAAGTATATATAAAAACTTTTTAGTTGAAGGGAATTAATAACCTACTCATACTGGATGAAAATCTAAAAGGCAAAACAGTAGGAAGTGACACATAAAACTCAAGGTTATTGAATAAGCACTAGCAAACACCAGAAAAACTCTTTCCATTTTGTTTAATAATTTAGTTCCATAATGTAACACAAAAGCAGTTAGGATTTTTAGAACATTAGAGAACTATACCATAGTGTAGTCACATTTACATTTAGAATTATTAACCAAAAGTTGTAAAGATAACCTCACTTATAAATAAGATAGAAATGTAAATAGTAGTATTTTCCATTATTTAATGCTTAAAGCCAAAGGTGTAAGATATATTTTGCCCCTGTAACTATGCCCTCTCATTTGTATCATCATTTTGCTCTTTTATGATCATCTCATCAGCGTACGAACATGTTTTAGTATCTTTTTTTTTTCAAAGCAAAAATAAGGTCAGGCGCAGCGGCTCACACCTGTAATCCCAGCACTCTGGGAGGCTGAGGCGGATAGATCACTTAAGGTCAGGAGTTCAAGACCAGCCTGGCCAACAAGGTGAAACTCCATCTGTACTAAAAATACAAAAATTAGCCAGGCATGGTGGCTGTAATCCCGCCTACTCGGGAGGCTAAGAGAACTGCTTGAACCCGGGGGGTGCAGGTTGCAGTGAGGCGAGATAGTGCCACTGCACTCCAGCTTGGGTGACACAGCGAGACTGTCTCAAAAAAATAAATAAAGCAAAAACTCCAATCTCAACCTTACATCTCTCCAACTATCCCTGTTCCTCTTTTGAGTTAATATTTTTAAAACTTTTATTTTGAAATAATTATAGCCTTACAGGAAGTTACAAAACTGTGCAGAGAGGTCCTGGGTGCCTTTCACCCAGCTTTTCCTAATGATAACATCTTATATAACTGCAGCATAATAGCAAAACCAGAAAATAGACACTGGATACAATCTACAGACCTTACTAATATTTCAGGTTTTTTTTTACATGCACTTATTTGTGTATGTGTGTATATACAGTAGTTCTCTACAATTTATTACATGTACAGATTTGTGTAACTACCACAACAAACAAGATAAAGAACTATTACATCACCTCTTTACTCTCCATAGTCCCTAAACTCTGATCAATAATCTGTTTTCTATGTTTATATTTTTTTCATTTCCAGAATGTTATGTAAGTGGAATCATGTAGTATGCTACCTTTTGAAACTCGCATTTGACACTTCTTTCACCATAATGCTCTTGAGGTCCTCTCCAAGTTTTTGCACCTAATCCTGGTCTGTCCCATTCCATTGCTGAGTAGCATTCTACGGAATGTATGTACCACAATTTGTTTAATCATTCACCCATGGAAGGACATTCAGGGTTGTTTCCAGTTTTTGGCTATAACAAAGTTCTAAAAATATTCATTTATAGGTTTCTATGTGGACATAACTTTTCATTTCTTTGAAATAAATGCCCAGGAATGTTATTTATGGGTAATATGGTAAGTGTATAAGAAACTGGCCACCTTTTTCCAGAGTGGCTCTATCACTTAACATTTGCACTAGCAACATATAAAAGATCCAGTTTCTCTGTATCCTCACCAGCATTTGATGCTGTCACTATTTTTTACTTCTGTAGTTCTAAGAGGGCATATAGCATTATTTCATCATCACATTAATTTGTGTTTCCCTGTGGCTAAGGTGGTGAACATTTTTTCATGTGTTTATTTGCCATTAACACATGCTCTTCGGTGAAATGTCTGTTTATGGTTTTTTTTTTTTTTTTTTTTGGTCCATTGTCTAATTGGATTGTTTGTTTTTTGTTTTTGGGTTTTTTTTTTTTTTTGAGATAGAGTTTTGATCTTGCTGCCCAGGCTGGAGTGCAATGGCGCAGTCTTGGCTCACTGCAACCTCTGCCTCCTGGGTTCAAGTGATTCTCCTGCTTCAGCTGGGATTACAGGCGCCCACCACCACGCCCAGCCAATTGTTGTATTTTTAGTAGAGATGAGGTTTCACCATGTTGGCCAGGCTCGTGTCGAACTCCTGACCTCAGGTGATCAGCCCTCCTCGGCCTCCCAAAGTGCTGGGATTACAGGAGTGAGCCACTGCGCCTGGCCTGGATTGTCAGTTTTTTGTCTTTTTACTGTTGACTTTTTAAAGTTCTTTTTAGATAGAAGTCCTTTGTCAGATACACTGGCTTGTAAATATTTTCTCCAAGTCTGTAGCTAGTCTTTTCAGTCCCTTGACAGGGTATTTTGTAGAGAGGAAGCTTTTAATTTTGTGAAAGTCTAATTAATTTACTGATTTTTTTTCTTTTACAGATCATGTGTTTAGTGTTATGTCTAAGAATTCTTCACCTAGTTTGTTTTTTTTTGAAACAGGGTGTCACTCTGTCGCCCAGGCTGGAGTGTAGTGGCATGATCTCAGCTCACTGCAACCTCTGCCTCCGAGGTTCAAGAGATTCTCCTACCTCAGCCTCTGAAATAGCTGAGATTACAGGCATGTGCCACCATGTCCAGCTAATTTTTATATTTTTAGTAGAGACGGGGTTTCGCCATGTTGGCCAGGCTGGTCTTGAACTCCTGGCCTCAGATGATCTGCCCACCTCAGCCTCCCAAAGTGCTGGGGTTACAGGCATGAGCCAACGCACCCAGCCTCTTCACCTAGTCTTACGTTCCAAAGATTTTCTCCCATATTTTCTTCTAAAAGCCTTATGGGTTTTTTTCTTTTTTTGAGACAGAGTCTTGCTCTGTCAACCAGGCTGGAGTGCAGTGGTGCGAGCTCAGCTCATTGCAACCTCTGCCTTTCGGGTTCAAGAGATTCTCCTGCCTCAGCCTCCCAAAGAGCTGGGACTATAGGTGTGCACCACCACACTGGACAATTTTGGTATTTTTAGTAGAGATGGGGTTTCACCATGTTGGCCAGGTTGATCTCAAACTCCTGATCTCAGGTGATCCACCCACCTCAGCCTCCCAAAGTGCTGGGGTTACAGGCGTGAGCCACTGTGCCTGGCCACCTTATGGTTTTATTAAACCAATAGTACATTTTGAGTTAATTTCAAATAGGATATTTTCATGAATGTCCTATTGCTGTAGCACCACTTGCTGGAAATGTCGAAGTAATAACTTTCCTCCATTAAACTGCTTTTGTACCTTTGTCAAAAATCTGCAGGCCACACCATAGTTCAATCTGTGTCTGGGTTCTTTATTCTGTTGCTATCTCCTATGTGTCTAGGCCTCCTCCATTACCATGCTATCTTGGATTACTGTGGCTAAATGGTTTTAAAACCAGGTAGATTGATTCTTCCCACTTATTTTACTTTGTCAAAATTGTTTTAGCTATCCTAGCCTTCCCATATAAATACTAGGATAAGCTTGTCCATATTTACATAAAAATTTTCCCAGCAAATTTCTTTAAAGAGTTTTCTCTAGTTGCTGTTTTCCCACTTTCAGTCCTTAACTGATTCTAATAGGATAGCTATTACTGATTACTGTACCAAAACTCCTTTTCAGAAGGTCTCCAATAACCTGGATGCCAAATCCAATAGCTATTTCCTTTTTATATATCATCGACCTCTTAATGACAGGGATACGTTCTGAGAATTCCATCATTAGACTATGTCATCATTGTGCACACATCATAGAGTGTACTTATACAAACCTAAATGAATATAGCCTACAACATACCTGCACTATATGGTATTGCTCCCAGGCTACAAACCTGTAGAGTATGTGACTATACTGAACAGAGTCGACAACTGTAACACAGTAAGTATTTGTGTATCTAAATATGGCTAAACATAGAAGAGGTACAGTAAAAATGCGATATTATAATATTGTTAGGACAACCACTGTGTATGCAGTCATCGACTAAAATACCATTATGCACTGTATGACTGCATCTTAATCGCTAAGCAGGATTCTACACAGTTGACTGCATTCTCTTTTTTCTTTTTTTTTTTTTTCCTGAGACAGAGTCTCACAGAGGGCAGTGGCACGATCTCGGCATACTGCATACTCCGCCTCCTGGGTTCAAGTGATTCTCCTGCCTCAGCCTCCCAAGTAGCTGGGATTACACCATGCCCAGCTAATTTTAATATTTTTAGTAGAGATGGGGTTTCACCATGTTGGCCAGGTTGGTTTCAAACTCCTGACCTCAGGTGATCCTCCTGCCTCGGCCTCCCAAAGCACTGGGATTACAGGTGTGAGCCACTGCGTCTCCAGCCAACTGCATTCTCTTCTTGTAACACTTTATTCTCATGACTCTTTGGATAAGTTTCTGGTCTTCATTCTAAGTCACTGGCTGCTCGTTCACAGTACCTTTTGTTGGCATTCTAAGATTCAGAAAGGATGAACTGCCGTTCTCCACACACCAGCCAGAGTGATCTTCTTTAAACGTATGTTTGATCATATTATTCTGCTTAAAACTTCTAATATCTTCATTGGGAAAACAACAGGCTTTCCAACAAATGGTGCTGCAACAACTGAATATATCCATGCAAAAGAAGGAAGTTGGACCTCTACCCCAAACCATATATAAAAATTACCCCCAAACGGCTGGGCGCGATGGCTCATGCCTGTAATCCCAGCACTTTCGGAGGCTGAGGCGGGTGGATCACGAGATCAGGAGATTGAGACCATCGTGGCTAACACAGTGAAACCCAGTCTCTACTAAAAATACAAAAAATTAGCCAGGCGTGGTGGCGGGCACCTGTAGTCCCAGCTACTCGGGAGGCTGAGGCAGCAGAATGGCATGAACCCGGGAGGCAGAGCTTGCAGTGAGCAGAGATGGCACCACTGCACTCCAGCCTGGGCGACAGAGCGAGACTGCATCTCAAAAAAAAAGAAAAAAAAGTTACCTAAAATCAGATCAAGACCTAAATGTAAGAGCTGAACGATAAAAACT